GTTATATCGCTGATCGGCAACACCGGAAAATCTGAATTTTTACTTTTTTTTCTTTGGGGGATATATCACTTAATAGATAAAATCTATTCGAGTTTTTGTCTGGCGGCCCCGGGGCCATTATGCCTTATTGTTGTCTATTGCTTATTATTTGTGAAATAACCACTCACTTGAAAAGGTTTGGGAACTGTGGAAGAAGGTTGGGAACTACTAAAGAAAAGTGTCAAATATTTTCAATTTTTTTTTATTTTGTTTTTTTGTTTTCTATTTTTTATTATATATAGACGAAACAAAAGCACATACGCGATATCCGCGTTAACCAGTTTTAGCAATAACACTGAAAAGACAGAAGTTAAATACACAAAAACACCGAAAACACCGAAACAATTGAAAAAACGCAGACGAAAAGAAAACACGCACTACACTGAACACAAGTCGACTCGGAATGGAAGTTAAATCTAAAAAAATGCAAGAACCTTTTTTTCTCAAGGAGAAAATCAGCCAGTACCGAGTATTTCATCGGTTCACATCAGTTGGAAAACGATAATTCGTTCATCGATGTAGTGGTTCTATTCCACCAAAGATTACTTTTTCAATTGCACGTTGAGCTTTCTCGGCGAGTTCAACAAATGTTGGTTCAATAGCTTAATAATCCTTACATTATAAAAACTCTATACATGACCTTAGTCACATTCTTAAGTATGCCTCTGTTATGTGGTCCCTTTCCTGCCGATGTTATGTTAATTCGATAGAAGTGGTTCAAAAGCAACCTTTGTTGTTTGCCCTAAGGAATTTGGGCTGGAACTCGCTTGTCTTTATGCCTAATGTCTAATTAAAATAAATTGCTTTTGTTAGTCTTACCGTCATTCGACTTAAGTTAATAAATTGTACTATAAACTCGGCAACTTTACTTGGTGAGATAAGCTTTAGTATCCCTAATCGCTTTTCTATGCACTTTATTTTCATTAAGTTTAATCAATGTAAGTATAAGGATGAGATATTCTTTTAAAAAAACCAAATGGTACCTACCACTTAGTCTTAAAATCGGACTCTTAATGTCTATAAAAAAAAACTATGCTTAATACGTGCGATTTGTCTATGTAATATTTAAACCAACTTGCAAACTTAATATCTCACTATGATTCAAATATTAACTGGTGTTGTTTCCTGTTGTTCATTGCCAAGTTTTTGCATGTTTGCGATGGCTTAGAGGTTCACTTACAATATGTGTCTGCATTGCATTGAAGCAAATGAAGAACTTAAAACGAATATACAAGCTACCCCATCAGAATTGCCTGAGAATAACGTACCAATTTCAATATACTCTCTTTATGTACACTCTCAGGTCGGAATTAAGGTTTTTGAAAATAAATACTGCTCCACGCCAATCAAATATTGCTAATTTTTCAGTTCCCACTGTATCACTGATACCGACTACATATTATTCATTTTAATTATACCTTGAATCCAGATAAAGTGTCCAATATTATTTTCTGTTGCAGGCAATGAAAATGTCTGACGGTCAATAATTTTCTGTATAGAACTCAAACTTTAACCATGCAAAGCTTACGCGAAAAGTTCTAAATTTTATGTCATCATCTCCACTTATTGTCTGTAAGAAAAGGTTTAGATTGGCATTGAAGACACCATCGTTAAGTTCAGGTATTAGAATGGGGACCTTTGTGCCGCGAATTTAAAATTCAATATAAGGATGGATATTCGGATCTGGATTTTAAGGAAATGATTCATAATAGAAAACAAAAGTCAGTTGAAAAGTTTGACGTATACTATTATAGAATTTTGCAATTGACCGATGGAATAGATGTTCCAGACAACGAATTAGTGAGGAAAATTCGCATAGAACTAATTCACTTCGAAATTATAGGTTGGGGTCTTCCATAGATATCATGGTGGCAGGGGGGTTAGGGCTGAGTAGAAAATGGCCTCAAACTGAAAATTTACCTGTTTCGTAAGGTAGGTTTCGCCCGTCCGTGTATTCGTATAAGGGTGATTAAGGGTGAAGTACATAATATTCTACTAACCGACGTCTATTCTATTAACCGACGTCTCGTGTAATTAATTAATTTATTTATTTATTTATTCTTCTTATACATAAAAATCTACTGCAACAAATTGACAGTCGAGTTCAATTGACTCTTAATGGAAATCTTATATAAAATAAGAGGGAAAAAAAAGAAAAAAAAGGCATGTACACAACCAGCATGGAGACACACCCACAACCGGTACAGGATCAAATTGCAAATGAAACCCTAAGCCATTGCAAACATGCATAAGCTTAGCAACCGATAATAGTTAACAACAATTAATTTTAGAATCATAATGACTTTTCACGGTTAAGAGCTACTTTAAGTAAGACATAGGGAAATCGCGCAATGCAATGTTGCTTTAATGGACTTTAAAGAGTTCGATAATGAGAATAAGTGATAGACGTCATTTACGTTTTTGCAAACAACTCTGAGCGAGTTAAACAGCTCATTATTAGATTTACACTGACTAAGCTTAACCAAGATAAAGTGCCTAAAGAAGCGGTTAGGGACATTTAAGCTTACCTCATGAAGTAATGCGGACGAGTCAATAGTATCATTTACTACTTTGATTAAGAATGGAATCCCAAGAACAAATCTACGTTTCCCAAGTGACGCTAAGGATAACAGAAGCAACCTATTTTTATAGGAAGGAAGAGAGGCAATCAGGTACCACCTAAAATTCCTTATTGGTAACACCAAACTGCTTTTGAACAGATTCAAGTGAATCTATGTAGCACCTATAGGAAGGAGGTCACACAACAGAGGCATATTCGAGTATAGGTCTAGCCAAACAAATGTACACCCTTTTCGTAATGTAAGGATCATGAAATTCTTTAGACCACCTCTTTATAAAAGCAAGCGCAGATCTAGCTTTGCTTATCGAGAGCTCAATATGCAAGTTAAAACGTAAATCAACGAATGACTTCCTTCTTGACAAAGAAATCTTCTTACATTTATTTAGATTTAGTTTCATAAGATTCCAAGCGTAACATGCAACTAAATTATTCAGGTCACTTTGAGGCTGAAGTGATAGCGATTCTACAGAGAAGGAAGAAAACAATTTCACATCATGAGTATACATTAAGATCTGGCTCGAATTATTCACCGATGGGAGATCATTAATGTATAAACTAAATAAAATGGGACCTAAGTGGCTGCCTTGAGGTACGCCAGACGTCACAGTGAATTCATCCGAGGTGATGAAGTTAAACAAAACCCTGAATGATCTACTGTGCAGATTAGAGCTTTTCCATTTTACTAAATACAAAGAGAAACCAGAGGCTTGGAGTTTAAAGGTAAGTAAGTTATGATTAACCAAATCAATGCTTTGCTTAAATCAGTATTTATTACATCAATGTGAGAGCCACTAAAAAAAGCCTTGAAAACATGACAAGTAAGCTCTAACAAGTTAGTGACTGTAGCTCTTTCTTTCCGAAAGCCATGCTGGTGTGGAGAAATATACGAATTAACGGCAAATGCCAAATGCTGAGTCACAATTCGCTCGAGCAACTTGGGCAAGACACTCAACTTAGTAATGCCTTGTTAAAAATCTTTGAGATAACACCGCATAGTTCGGCAGCAAAAGATATAAGTGCACATGATTCCATCAGGTCCAGCCGCACAATTATATTTTAGAGAGCTCAACCCTTCAAAAATGTCATCTTCCGAAATAACCAAGTTAGGAATTGAAACCATGTTAGTTACATGTTATGGGTATTTTGCTGATAAAACGGAATTAGCAATCGAAAAGTTTCGTCGGAAATACCCAGCAAACAGATTTGATTTCAAAATCCGTCGGATGATTTTGAAATCAGAAAAAAAAACATGCGAGGGATGTATGAAAATTTTTCTTTTTGTGTTAACAAAATTAAAAAAGTATTTAAGATTAGCAAACAGAGAGGATTTAATGAACTAAAGGTATTTGCAATAATATTGGTAGTTGAGGGAGTTAAATATATGCCTTGTCACCGAGTAAGCGAAATAGTCAAGAGCAGAGCCACTTTTCGAATATTTTTTGAATAGCGCGTTTTTTCTGTTCTTGTAATATTTAATTGTCTTATTAAACCACGGGGGACATCTGCTTCGAGGTCGGCAGTGCTTGATCGGAACAGATGCACCAATAGCTAGATTTAATGTATTGTAAAAATATGACAATAAGCTTTCAATACTTTCGGTCGAGAAATCAAACCTTATATGTGAAAGATGATATTTTAGCAATATAATATTGATTTTATGGAAATCATAATATTTGTTTGAAAAAGTTGGATTTGGGACATTAAGGCAGTTCAACGAACCATCGTACTTGTGATGAAAGGAAATGCACGTTGCTGGATGATAAGGACCCTCAGGTTTACTAAGAGATGGACGACGGTATACACTAATCTCAGGAAAATTGGCAAAGCAGAGATCAAGCAGTCTATCAAAACAATTAGGGGTACGGTTATATTGAACTAAATTACGATCAAATAATTTGTTAAAGAACACAACGGATCTATCAGATGTTGAAGTAGGAATCAAACAGCCACAATTGTCACTGTTACACCAAGTGACTTGAGACAAGTTAAAGTCACCCAGCGCAACAACCAAATCTGCGGGTTTAGACTGCTTGGCCACTGCACAAATGAGGGCAGCCTGTTTCTTACATATGGAGATATCAGAATTTAGGAGAATATAGGAGCAGGTTATAAATAACTGTCTATTAAGCATTTTCGCTCGAGTGGCGATAAATTCAACATTAGGAGAAGTGGGAAACTATATCGAATTGGACGGGACTGACGCAGATATGGCAATTATAACACCACTGCCAATGCGATTAACTCGATCATTTCTAAGGACTTGGAAAGAATTGTGAAAAAGTTCCGACGAATAAAGATCAGGTTTTAACCAAGTTTCATTTAAGGCCAAACAGGAAAACTCCGTGCCCACTAAATTTAGGAAAGTAGAACGAATTTTTGACTTTAGGCCCCTAACATTTTGATAAATGAGAGATAATAAGCCTAAAGAAACATTTAGTTTTTTGAAGGCGACAGGACTATTGCTTTAATATTACGGGCTCCATTACGAGGGATAAATTCCTTAATTAAGGATCCAACTGGCCGCAATGGTTTATTTAACAACATATCGATGTTTTCAGTCGGAACTAGCATTTTAAAAGGGGAGATTGCCCTAAATTGAGGAGGAGCCAGTTTGAAAATGCTAACGCGCTTTAAATTGACTGATGGGATTTTCGCCGGCAGATAACTTTTTATGTTACCCGCAAATGTGCCAGGTTCCAACCTTAACACAAATATACCTTTTCTGGGAGGAACTGCTGCCAAGCAAGTGTCATTACAGCTAGGAGCAGTAGAGTTCACGACTGCAGAGTTTTGAGCTGGGGAAAATATAGATGGGGTTACCAATGGAGCAGCTTGTGCGACATGCCCAGTTTGGTGACCAGCGTTCACACTCGACCAGCCAGGAGGAGAGGATGATTTATTTTGCCTTTTATTATTTTTAGGCGATGACGTCTGAGTAGAGTGAGTGACCGCACTGGGAGGAGATACCCTTGCCACTTCAGTATAGCTTAAATCAGAAGAACTTGCCGGCTTATTTGTGACTGTTTTGTTACTGACAGACTCAGTAATATCTGAAACGCTGACGTTCATTGTACAGAATGAGGGAACGCTAACTTGTGCCAACGAATTTAATTTAAAGGGAATCAGTGGTGACATACCACACGTTACGCAACGTATTGTAGTTTTGCTCGCTTAGGAAGAAGATGAGTGCTCAATAGAACGACACATATGAAACCTAGACTTAGTTCAAAACTCTCCCACAAGGAGGCGAGATGTTTACTCAATTCCGAGAAACCATTTCTCGTCTCCGTGAAGAGTTTGTAACAATCAATATCCCGCTTCCTACAGTCAGGACATGACCAACGTAAGTCTTTCGAGGGATCAACGACTGCATCAGCAGCACGGCCGATAATACCGGCACTCTTTGCATGAAAAATGCGATCACAAAGCCAACATGAAATTAATCGTTCGGAGTCTGGGTCCGCTTTCGCACGACATGGTCTATATAAACAGTCCATGTCCAGTCAAACACGACAGAAGTGGATTATGAAGAAAATAAAGAACAAATTACAAAAAGATTTACAACACAAATTTTGTCATTTAAGCAAACTTCTCCTTTACGTTGACACTGTAACAAGAGAGCGAAAGCAAAACGAAACTGCAAACACCAAACAAAGAAATCACAAAAATTATCTCTAAATTTCACTCTATTGAAGCAACGGTAAACAAAGAGAAAGTCAAGAAAAAAGACTGTAATCACCAAAAGAAAAAAACAAAAAATAATTAATATAATTCTTTCACTTTTATACCTTTTATACTTTTACTAGCAATTAAGCTTGAAACGCCTAAAAAGTTATTAAGCAATACAACAAAAGAAAAAAGTGCAATAATTCTTTACACAAACTAAAACCGTACGATCACAGCGCGATCAGTTGCCAAAATTATTAACTAATAATGAAAGATTAATTAATAATAATTAATTAATAATAAAACATTAATTGAAGATTTAGTTGTTTTCGGATCGATATATAGATTTTGATTAAGTTTCGATTGCTTCGGGGCCTTTATTCACTAGCTTCGACAGTGAAGGTATTTAACGTAAGCTTGAATATAACAGTATTTTTTTGAATATCGAATTTTTGTATCATTTGATTAACCCACAAAAACACTATTCAAATATTATTGATTAAAAAAAAAGAAAGTTTCGAAGATATTAGTACCATACACTGCTACTGATGATGATGTTGATAATGATGTTGTCGTTGCAAAGATTGAGGCTGATAATTTTGTGGTATAGCCGCTTTCCAAAGCACCGTATTAATTGACTTATCACCATTACTTGTTCTCAAATGCGTATAAAACAAAAAATGTGAATAGCAGCAAAATCTTTTTCATTTTGTTTTATTTTTCCTTGTTCTACCATTAAACCAACTATAACGTCAAAAACCTTTAATAATACGATTGTCTTAAATATTATATGTATCCAATGTCATACACATTACGTTTGTTTGCCTATACTGCTTTATTCTGCTACTTTCCAAAACTCCGCGCATTTTTCCATAAGCATTTTAAATTACGTTACAAACATTTTATACAATGTCTTTGCCCTTTCTTCCACTATTCAAATAAAATAGCGTTAATAAAAATAAAAAAACTTCTTCATATTTCCTGACAAGAAAATTCAAATTTTACAAACCATTTGGCAAGCGTAGAATGTAGAATTCTTGAAAATAAACGATGAAATTGAAACAGTTTACATTCGCCGCATACATACATACTACTTCGTGTTTTTCATTCATACGCATTTATATGTATATTATAGCGCATAATCGCTTAAAAAGGCAGAATTGTTTATGCATCTGCTTTGCAAACGTTTGAGAGAATACAACCTAATTACGATAATTGCTAAAATCAGCATATTACAATTTAAGCAAAAGAATACTTATAAAGGAACTTAGCCTAAAATTTTAATATATAAGTACCATAATTTACAAAATTGAATTGACTTTTCATTGCCGAGCTTGCCTTGGCGTTAAGAGCGAAAATCAAAGTTTTATTCAATTGTTTTATAGTGTCACAATAAAGGGTGATGGCCTTAGCGGAATAGCAGAGCAGCTTAGTGCTTATTCACACTACAACCAAAATCACCCGTGACATAAGAGTCTTAGGGAATCTCTTCTTTCTCGTGCATTTATTAAAACCTCTCTTCATTCATGAGGTTCCCATTTTTTCACCCCTCCCACTTTCAATACAATATGAAGTGTTGTCCACGAAATAGACCCACGTGGTTTAAATCTAGTCCACTTAATTTTTATGTCAAATTACTACTATGCATAAATTTTCATCATAAAACATTAACAATTAAGCCCTTTTCACCTTATGTAAGATTTTATCTTTACATGCGGTTTTTAATGGATTCTCACGAAATGTAAACCCTATTATGAACCAATTTTCACCTTGAAACATTGCAAATTAGATATTCAGAACATAAACAAATTTAATTTCCCTGGCAACGGTTGTATGACAAGGAGTTCGAAATTTTGCCCATCCGATCAAAAGTTCTGACACCAATGTGGAATGCCGAAATACTGTCACTAAGTGAGTTTTGTTGCGAACTTCTGCAAATTGCAAAACCGAGGCATTATATGGGAAGTGATCGAAAAAATGAACCTATCCGAACCATTTTCAGTAGCGCTCATCCTTGGGTCAGAACACGTCAGCGTTGCGTATTTATTTGCATATTGTAAGGAAGTGTTTTTGCTTCCTTACGAAATACAAGTCCGGCCGCTTAAAAGTCCGCCCGCAATCCGCCACCAGCAAGTCCGATCTGCCCGCAGGCCGTTCTGTGAGCAATACACGGACAGCCCCCTCCAATATCAAAATCATAAAACACACACTAAGCATACCTATACCTTGTACAGATAAAATCATAATATCTAAACTAAAACACTAAATATGCCTATACCTTGTAACGAGAAAAATGTCTAAACACCTATTGTACAGGCCCACGTGAGTTAATTCATAGAAACACACAACACATGTGTGTAAAGAGAAAATACAAGCACATAGTGAGGAGGCCTCTGTAAAAACACAGAAGCACACCACAGCACAGATTAAGAACCCCAGTGTACCAAAAAGCTTAGATCCAAATTTCAAAATGTAAGAGCGGAGTCAAGAACCCAAATAAAAGAAAAACTTAGTTGCAAGAAATCAATATGTTAAGAACACAAGTAGAATCTCAAAATGTTTAAGAACTCGAAGGTTAAACAAAACTCAAAGTACAAATACTAGTAGAATCTCAAGAACTCAAAGGCTAAATAAAACTCAAAGTATAAATACAAGCAAAATCCCAACATGTTTAACATGCAAGAAGTAAGCTTAGGTAGAAAATCCTTGCATGCAAAACAAACCTCAGCAAGAGTCTCTACGTGTAAAAATGCGCAGAATGTGTAGCACCGTTAGGGTAAACAAAACAAGCAGAATTGAACTTAGGTAGGGAAAGAAATAGTAAAAACATACGGTAATGCATAAACTGCATACACACTTTGTACAAAGACACGATCACACATGTAAAAACACACAAAACACATGCAAACATAGTGCACTAGCACCCACATACCTAACGGTGATCGAATCACGCGATTTGGTACCTGAGTGCTTGTGAGTAGACATTTGAACAAATATAGCAATAAGTTAGATGCAAGTTGGTTAAATTGTGTATAAGTAAGACGCAAGTCGCAACTGAGGTTACGACTGCAGCCAACCTAAGCTAAGCATACCCATAAGCATATTACCTCAAACTGATGTAAACACATAGAGCATGTTGGTATGAGGACAAGCGAGTGAGACTCAGGCTATAAAAGAACAGCGCATCGCACAGACTCGTTCATTTCGGTGTCATAGCTGCCTGGAGGTAAGTGGTTACAGACATTATGACGAATCTCTTTTTTTTGACATTACGGATAGGGGATGTGACGGTTGGTATCAATCGCCATCCCTGAAGGACTTGCAGAACAAATGACATTACGGATAGGGGATGTGACGGTTGGTATCAATCGCCATCTCTGAAAGACTTTGTAGAACAAATGACATTACGGATA